TTTCAGGTCATCAGGAGTCCACATTATTACTAAAGCAAATTAGAAAATACAATACATTTGAATACAGTAAATAGCCTGTAATTTTTATTAAGAAAAATATATATATTAAAATCATCTAATTATTAAAAATAGCAGTTTACTTATAACAATAAAATCATTTTAACTTTGAGGCTCCTCAGTTTCTAAAGCAATGTGTTAAGATAGCAAAAGTGATTTCCTTAGTATGTATTAAGGAAAGAGGGTATTATTTTTTATCCTATAACCTGAAATACTTTATAACATCAAATAGCATAATATAATTTTCTTATAAAATGTCCTCATATTATTATTATTCATTTATTTATTTTTTTGATCTCTTGGTCAAGGATTTATTTTGAGGAAGAGAGTAAAAAGTAGTTGTTAGTAGTTGTGTTACATGGTAAATATGATGCTTTTAAAAAACATAACATTATATTATGGAAAGTCACCCAGCTGTAGCTGTTAAAACACAGACATTTTATTCCAAGTTCTAAGAACAATTAACTTGCAGTAAAGGTGAATGATAATGGTAAAAAATGGGTTATGGTAGAAAGAATTCCTTACACCCTGTGATCTCCATAAGTTACCTAACTTCTCTGAGTCTTCATTTTCTGATTTTTTTATCCAAGCCTGTAGGAAAATAGCATCTGTTCTTCCTCAGGGGGTTTAACGAGGCTTACTTATCCCAAGGATCCTTGGTGGCACAGTGGTTAAGAGTTTGGCTTCTAATGAAAAAGTCGGCAGTTTGAATCTACTGCTGCTCATTGAAAACCCTATGTGGCAGTTCTACTCTGTCCTATAGGGTAGCTATGAGTTGGAACCGACTTGACAGCAGTGGGTTTGGTTTTTGGGTTTGGTACTTATCTCAAATGTTTTGGTTAACAATATATTATGGTCTCTGAAATCCTATCATTAAACATTTATTTTATTTTTTTATTGACTCTCTGAAAATCTTTTTTTAAAATGAAACATACCACTGGGAGGAATCAAACTTCCAAGTTTACCAATCTTTTAGCATAATATATTTTGTTGTTTTTAGGTGCAGATCAAGTCAATTCCAACTCTTAATTAGAGATTCCATGTGACAGAACAGAACTGCCCTATAGAATTTTCTTGGCTGTGATCATTAGAGAAGCAGATCACCAGTTCTATCTCCTGCAGAGCCACTGGGTGGGTTCAAACCACCAATCTTTTAGGTAGCAGCCAAGTGCTTAACAGTTGCACCACCAGGGCTCCTTACAAATTTAGTAAAAATCAAAACCAAATCCACTGCCATCGAGTTGATTCCGACTCATAGTGACTCTATAGGACAGAGTAGAACTGCCCATATGGTTTCCAAGGCTATAGTCTTGATGGAAGCAGACTGCCACACCTTTCTCCCACAGAGTGGCTGGTGGGTTTGAACTGCTGATCTTTCAGTTAGTAGCTGAGCACTGAACTAATTACGCTCAGTTTATGGTAGAATGAGTATATGAAGGATAGATGAATTAGGAAGCCAGGAATATAAAATACTTCCAGAATATAGAAGCAATGGCCAAGGAGAGTTGAATCTGGAAGGAAATATTAGAATGAAGGGACATTTGCACCTGGAGAGACAGAGGGTGGGGAAGTTGTGGGAGATGGAAAGGGACTTTGCAAGTCAAAGGCAGAGAACACCATGAAAAAGTTACCCAGGATGTTATTTCATATATTAAAAACAAAACCATCCTTCTTTCTAAACGTTTTGTTTTATGAATTATTTGCAATGTTCTAAACAATCTACATGGTGCCAGAGAAAAAGTTATGTAAAATATTTTCACTTATTTCTATAGTCTTCTGCTGTGTGAGTCTAATTTGGATTTTAGTGTAATTTCAACATAGTTTTTACGGTTTAATAAAACTTGCATCCATTAAAATGCTATTAAGCTGTTACACATGGTTAATAATACTTACAGACTTCTGAAAGCAGCTATTATTAAACTGAACAAAGTCATTAATGTCTTTAAACTTTGCACTAGGCTATAAAGCACAAAACAGATGTTTAACTGCATTTAGAGAACAGTCATAATATCTGCCTATATATATATATATCTTCACTTTATAACATATTTGTATGTTTATTTTTATTTTGTACTTTAAATCAAGAGTATGGTAATAAAGTTAAAAAGCAATGCATTGGTTTCTAATATTGACTTTTCCACTGATCATGACTTTTGTCTAGGCGGTTAACACAGTATAAACTTCCTTAGGTCCTTGCTTCTTCATCTATGCAATAATTAGGCTACTACAGGTAATTTCTATAATTTCATTCACCTCTGAAATTCAATGAGTCAATAAGAAATGTCTATCTGAGTTTACAACTAGAAATACCATACCTAGGTATTAAATTTTCTGAACAAACAGATATTTTAAATTTTAAATAATAGAGTCTGCAAATGGCAGACACTGACAGTCTCATCATTTAGAAGTTATGTGTCTTTATTTTACATGTAAAATTGTTAAACTGGTATTTCTTCATTAGGCAATATAAATTTAATCACCAAGTATTTGAAATGCCTAAAGTATATATTATTAAAAATAAGTCTATGGGTTTAATATGCACTTCCAGTTCTCCAGAAATCATCTAAAATATGGCTATAGAATAATTTGAACATTATATTTTACTGTGCATCTAACAGCTCAGTAATTGTTTATGTAAAACTAATTCTGAGCACTACCTAGGGACTCAAAAGTTCATTGTTATATTTGTTCACAGTCGTAAAGAAACTAGTCAGCAGTATATGATTGGTTCATCCATTTTACCATGTTTAAGGATCAAATCCAAAAAAGTCACACTAAATAACATCATTTCTTTGTTTCTCTATTTAAAGACTCCATCTGTATCCTTCAGAATTTACTTACTGCTTCCAGAAGAAGAAAGAATACTTGCTCCTCTTATTATGTACCATTATTTATAAAATAATCAAATATCTTCATGAGAAAAACGGATAATAAATAAACTTTAAATATGAAATACCTCAGACCAAGAGAAGCTCAATATTCAAATCCAAAGAGAGGTAATGTTTAAATGGACCAATTCTTTCTCAGCAATTTCACTTTAGATCTATGCAATCAAAACACTTATAGAGGGAAAACACTTTTTCTCAGGTGTGCCTCTGTGTTAATACATGTTTTGCCCCAGCCCTGCAACCAATCAGGCCTATCACTTAAAACTGTCCTGTAGACAAAGAAACAACTCAGTGTAGAAGACTCTGGCCAATAGAATTGGGATATAAAAGTGTCCTATGAGATGTCAGGGTAACAACAATGAATGTCAATAAAGAACGCATAAAAACGACTAGTAACTAAGACTGAATCCACCAAAAAATTCTCTAACAAAAAGAAAATAAGTTTAGTTATAAGAACTTTGAAAAAAGGTGAACTCCTGAAATAAATTAGTATGTAAACACAAGAAAATAATATGTTTTCCTAAGTGGACATCCCATTTACAAAGGAAGAACATAACTAATTACAAACCGATACGAACTGAAACTAAAACTAAATGATATTCTCATAAAAAATAATTTCATAAAACCAGCTAAAAGTTAGAGAATTAAATACAGAATTTAAAAGGAGTAATAAAATTAGGACAAAAAAATTGAAAGAAAAAATGAAATGAATGGAAAACAAAATTTTGAATTTGCAATTTACAATATGTAAGCTATATTAGTACCCAAGGAAGAATGCAGAATAAGTGAATCAGTGTTAAAAATATACTCTATTATATCTCAGTCATTTTGATAAGTATTTTATGCATGTTTTCTAATTGAAGAAATTAAAAACTTTAACTTCCATAAAACAAGTGAATCAACGGTGTTCATAAAATATAATGTTGATGAAAATAGGCTATCCTCTGATTTATCTTCTGCAAAGATGTAATAATAAACATGTCATAATAGTAAACACTGTCTGCATATGCTAAACGAAAATCTGATAATCTTGGTTTTATGTGAAATTAGCCTCTATGTCTGTCTTACACAACATATGCCCAAAATAAAATGATTCAGTAGAGATTAAATAAATAAATTGGAAAAAACATGCCCTAGATATTGAAGAAAGAAAATAGGAGTGTGGTGGTATTGAATATAAGGCAGAAGATATTAATAACCTAAAGGGAAATAATTGATAAAAGTATAGAAATAAAGATATATTTATGATTAAATAATTATGTACCAAAATACACGTGGTCAAAGAAATTTGAGTTATTTTCACAGAAACACTTCTGTTCACAGATTTTAACTCAACACAAGCCTATTACAAATCAGACTGAAATAAACAAGAAGTAAAATACACACACATATATATATGTATTTAAAACCTAGGTTCAAGTAATATTTAAGAATTGATCTGATCAGAGCATGGTTAAATTCTGAAATGTAATAACCAATTATATATATATATATAAAATATATATTAGATATAGATATAATTTCAAATAACAAAGAAACTGAAAATTCATCTCCTAGGGAGTTAAAAAAAACAATACTTTAAATAGTAATCAGTTCAAGAATGCAGTGATAAAATCCTAACAAATTATTTTCATCTGTTCTTAATATTTTTGAAGATAGGCATAGCAGTATCAGAAATAAATTTCTGACTCAGGATTATACTAAAAACATTAATATTTTATAATTAATTATGATTAATTAATTATATTTAATTATTTTCATAAAATGTTTAAGAAAAAAACCTCAGTTCTAGACAGGAAATGAGATATGAAAGAATTACAAAATGAAAGATCATTAAATTGAGAAATCAAACCATGAGATTATTATGAAGACATGGGTAAGTGGAAAAATATATACATTGTATTTTTTATTACTGTTAATTTCAAATATATGATTATATATTTTAAGGTGAAAGCTTACTTTAAAAATTAGTGTCTTTGTTTCAAAGTGTATTACTAGTGAGATATGCATAAGCTGTCTTAAGTATATATTAATTGTGTATAAATAAATACTGACCTGCAGGAAAAAGTGTGTCCTGGACCATCGACACAAACACCTCCATTAAGACAGAGAATCAAATTCAGGTCAGGTTCAGCACAGCTATCAATATCTATTTCACAATATGCGCCAGTGTAACCACTTGGACAAATGCAAGTAAATTCATCTACCAACTTCTGACAGATGCCTTCATTCACACAAGGAATTGATGGGCAGTCCTAAATTAAGAAAAAGAGAATCGAATTTGATTGTTAATGGTAAGACTAATACAGTGCCTTAAACTGGTATGACATCATTTTTCAACGTAATATCAACTCCAAAAATATTGGCAACTCTCATTCATTCTAAGAAATAACTTATGAAAAGTTATGACTTCATTAATAAAAGTGGTTTTAAAATTTATTTTCAATGTGTTATATATACAAAATTAATAAATATACAGTAACTTGAACTATTTGCTTTCTGGTATCTCAAGTTATTATATCCTTAAGGCTAATTACATATACAAACATGAAATATTTCTTTAGCATTCTACCCTGAAAAGTGATAATTTTTCTGGAACTATCGTTAATTGATACCTATGCTTACAAACACTTAGTGACTTTTAAAAAGTGTTAACAATAAAAACACTAACAAGACTAACATAAAGTCATTGCATTCATATCATGTATCCATTGGAGAACTAAAGGTTTATCAAAATTATCAGAGAGTTTAATTAGTGTCATTTTTAATAAGATTGTGCCCTTGAGTCTAAAACTTAAGTCATGCCTGGAACCAAAATGGTGATCTTTTGCAAACACCCAAGTGATATAGCTCAATGTATGTTTTTACAAATGACCGTCATTTTGATATTTGTTCTACCTTTACTGAAAATGTGAACTCCTTAAGCATAACCAAGGGCACTTAGTAGATTTCCTGTGGGTATTGCAGTTATTTTTACAGAATGTAAATGCAGAATTCTACAGGGAGTGGCATGGAAACAACACATTTCCCTTTCAGCCCTAGGGCTGAGTACACAAAGAATGATTTATTAGAAAGCATTACATAAACTAGCTGAATTATATCTCCCATGGGAAGAAAGGGATAGTTTTTAAGACTGCCAAAAGTTCTATCTCTAGGGTTTACAAGAATCTTTTACTAAATTAATTAGAAGGTTTAATGGGAAATACAATAGCAATTTCTTTTTTAGAGAAAATCAAACTGTCATTTAAAGTTCTTGATCTTTCTGGTTCAAAAGTTAAGGAGAATGCTTTTTCTTCTATTCATCATCATTTATGTTACATTGTTATACCTTCTATTTAATATAATCAAGTGCTTCCCAAAAAGAATTCACAAATTTAATTTCAGAAAATGAAAGAAAAGTCTGGTGTGTTTAAGAAAAAGAAGGAAGCTAGGAGGAACGTCGCAGGCCAGAGTAGTCTAGACAATCGAGCTAGACACCCTCCCCACCACTACTTTCATTCAACTACTCAAATTGCCATGCTAGATAATGTACAGGAGGATGATAGTAACAGAGCAATAATGTATTCATTGTGAACTGCTTACCCAGAGCAAACCTCCACCTGGATTGGTATATGTGCCAGTTATCTCACTGACAGCCTTGGTGGTGGAAAATGTTAAACACTCGGCTACTAACTCAAAGGTTGTTGGTTAGAACCCAACCAGCAGCTCCATGGGAGAAAGACCTGGAGATCTGCTCCCATAAAGATTATAGCCAGGAAACCCTATGGGTCAGTTCTACTCTGTTGTCAGAGGCCCTGTGAGTCAGAATTGACTTGAAGGCCCCCAGCAACAACGGCAACAACATCTTACTGACAGAGGTCATTAGGCCCCTGCCTTAATCCCTGCAAGGGCCTCTTAAATTTCATAGAACCCTCCAAGTCTTGTACAGCCCAGAGTAAAATCTACTAATCTACTCCAGAGTTTCTCAAATTTACATTGAATATTAATACCCTAGGTAACTTATTAAATTGCAGATTCTAGCTCAACAGATTTGATGTGGGGCCTAAATTTCTCCCTTCTAAGAAATTCCCAGGTGATCCCGATGCTGTGATCCCATGGACCAAGCACTGAGTAGGAAAAATTATAGTCCAACAGCTTCATTTTACTCACGTGGATGAGGATGGGCATAAAGGTACTAGAGTGACTTCTCCAGATCTTATAGCAAGACTGTGACAGAATTATACCACATAGACACTAACTATCCTGAGTTCCAACCTAAAACTCATTCTACTAATAGTAATTTCCCTCTCAAAGTAATTTGTTGGCTACTAAAGTGTAAATATGATCATGTGTGTGGTAAACACTTAATGTCCCTAAGGTTTACTTCCAATATATCTTCATTAGCTTTTTTTTTTTCTATAAACTTATATTGTTGAATATGAGACTGAAGTAGCTAATGTTATTGCTGTTGTTAGTTGCCGTATATTCGGTTCTGACTCATAACGACCCCATGTACAACAGAACAAAACGCTGCCTGGTCCCGCACCATCCTCATAATCCTCACTATGATTGAGCGCATTATTGCAGTCACTGTGTCAGTTCATCTCACTGAGGGTCTTCCTCTTTTTCTCTGATCCTCTACTGTACCAAGCATGATATCCTTCTCCAGGGACTGGTCCCTCCTGATAACACGTCCAAAGTATATGAGATGAAGTTTCACCATCCGTGCTTCTAAGGAGTGTTCTGGCTGTACTTCTTCCAAGACAGATTTGTTCATTCTTCTGGAAGTCCATGGTATATTCAGTATTCTTCACCAATACCATAATTCAAAGATATCAATTCTTATTCGATCTTCCTTATTAATTGTCCAGCTTTTACATTTATATGAGGCAATTGAAAATACTATGGCTTGGGCCAGGCACACCTTAGTCCTCTAAGTGACATCTTTGCTTTTCAACACTTTAAACAGTTCTTTTGCAGTAGATCTGTCCAATGCAACACGTCATTTGATTTCCTGACCTCTGCTCTCATGGGCATTGATTGTGGATCCAAGTAAAATGAAATCCTTGACAACTTCAATGTTTTCTCTGTTTATCATGTTGTTGTTTATTGGTCCAGTTTTGATGATTTTTGTTTTCTTTATGTTGAGGTGTAATCCATACTGAAGGCTGTAGTCTTTGATCTTCATCAGTAAGGGCTTTAAGTACTCTTCACTTTCAGCAAGCAAAGTTGGGTCATCTGCATATCACAGGTTGTTAGTCTTCCTCCAATCCTAATGCTGTGTTCTTCATATAAATCACGCAAGCCACCACAGTATCACAAACTGAGAGATGTGTGGGGGAAGTAGCTAATAGGGATCATATTTTTATAGATTCCCAATATGACTTGTGATTTTTTATTGTTGTTTTGCTTTGCATATATATAAAACATAACATTTACCAATTCAGTGTTTTTATGTGTACTATTTAGTGAAATCCATTATACTAATCATCTGCAACATCATCAATAATCATCATCCAGACTTTCATATTTTGATGTATATAGAATTCACTGCTTCACTTTATCATTTCAAGAAATGAAACAAGATTATAAAGTATCAAAATTGATATTCTTATGGTAAATCTTAATTTTATGTCTTATTGAAAACATGACTGGTAGTATGTCTGGGAAGAAAGGTAACTGAAGTAAACAAACAAAACCATAGTCCCAGAAATAGCCTGAAATTTACAAACAAATCAAATATAGGAAAGAAAAGTGCATCAGGCATGAAGCTACGGACAATGAGAACACAAAACAAACCTCAAGATTTTTTGACAGATAATGTAGAATCTCAAAAACACTAAGAATAAATAAATAAATAAAACCCTCACAGTTACTACTATTTCTACAAGAGAACAAAAGAGAATTACAGAAGAATTCTAAAGTGTATATTCAAAATCTCAGTGCTCCAGCTTGAGAGTTTCAGGCATGACACATCATCATAAAGATCATAAATACTTTGATTAGATGCTACTAAGGAATCTATAGCATTTTAATGGATATGTGGTTGGCCTCTGTGGTCTGGAGAGACTGGGGAAGGAAGTGCAATTCCTCTTGCCTCTACCCTCTACTCTGATCAAGGTTTGGACTCTCTTCCTAGATAGTATGAACAGAGATCTGCCCCTGCTTTGGAGATCTAAGATTTCTATGCCAGGGCAAATGGTAGAATAAATAAAAGAGAAATACCTGGGAGAAAATAATGAAATTTATGTAAACATAATGTATGCACCGAGAACAAATATTCACATTTTGCCAGGACACACGTGTAGAAAAAGATTTTCAATAAATACATGAGGATGGTGGGAGAGGAGCAGCGTGAGCTCACAAGGAAAAACGATTTTAAAAAAACGAGCAATAGAGTCTTAAAAATGTTAGCAACTAGAGCATGACATGAAATAAAGAAGATGAATATCTCAAACTTCCACACGAGATACAAAATTAATTTTTAAGAAAAATACACATAAAATATCATAAATCTCCATCAATAGGATGTTGGTTAAATAAATATGGTACATCTACAAAACTGAATATTAATAATAATGAAGTAGAACTATATATGTTAACATAGAAGAATCTGCATTCATAGATTAAGTGAGAAAGGACGATAATTGTTGTGTGTGTGATAAATGTTTGCATTTCTGATATTTGGTTTATTTTAAAGACATATTTCTGAACCAAGGAGAAAGATATTCTCTACAATGGCTTGTGGGAAATAGCTGGACATTTGTTGAAGGAGATGTCTTTGAACTCAAACCTTATACCAAAAGGCATTCTGATGGATCAATCAAGTAATTGCAAAAAAAATTTTAAGAAAAGATAAAGACTACTGGAAGAATTTTTTGAATAAATTTCTTTTAAATTTGTCACAAATCACAAAAGATTTGGAGGAAAAGATTAGTAAATTTGGAAAAAAATGAAACACAGCCTTACAAGAATTTTCTATATATTACTTAAAAGTTAACCAAAAAATAACTTGTACGTACACAGTATATTTGTATAAACCAAAACCAAACCCTTTGTCTTCGAGTCGATTTAAACTCATAGTGACCCAACAGAACAGAGTAGAACTGCCCCATAGGGTTTCCAAGGAGTGGAACTGGTGAATTTGAACTGCCGACCTTTTGGTTAGCGGCCTGAGGTCTTAACCACTGTGCCACCAGGGCTCCTATATTTAGTATAAAAGAGTTAATAATCTTATATAAAATGCCCCTTACACATTACAGGTCACACTATAAGCAGTACACATATCATATGTATACAGAGAGAAAGAGTGATATTCATCCTAAATAGCTTTCCAGAAAAAAATCTGATAGTTTTAGACAAGATATAAACAAGCTTTTCCACACAGTACTAGTATGAATGTAAATACCCAGAGACTTTATGGAGTGAAATTTGGCAATGCACATCTAAGTTCATATAAACTACGAAAGATTTTTGAGTCAAGAATTTAGCTTTAAAATAGGTAAGGATCTGTGTTCAAAGCTGCATGTACAATCCTGAACAAAACTTTGATGTTTGAAATATTTAAAAATAAGCATCAAACTGATACTTTTATACAGATTGCTGAAGAGGTATATATAAAATAATGTTAAATAATAAATATCAAAATGTTCTCATAAATTATTATTCATAAACAGGATTATATATTATGTATATTTATATGTCCTTTATGACATGTATTTTTTATAATGAAATATATAATTCTAAAATCTGAGAAAAAAGAATACCAAGTTTTACTCTTCTCAAATCTTAAAGAAAGACACACCAGGCAGATTTACTAAGTGAGGCAATGATCAAGATTATTATTAAACTTTCAGAAATCTAAAAATAAATATTTCAGTCCTGGATGGAATTAATCTTTGATAGAATGTTTTAGATTCCAGTTCTCTGTGTTGACACACATATCTCTTTTTAAGGGATCAAGATAGTTCATAGAGCCTCAGGGAAAAGAATCTAAGTTTTTTTGAAGAATAATAAATAGTTTAATAATCCACAATCCAATACTCAACTAAAGTTAGTAAGAAGATCCAAAAATCTGCTTTCTCAAGGAAACTTATTTATTATTTCACTTTAATTTTCTAGGAAAATCTTCTATAAATGAGCAATGTGGGTATCAATCCTCTCATCGCCATCATTTATACTATTAAACATATATAATCACAAAATCCCATACAGAAAAGCTATGCAGGGTACAAACTCTCCCTCTAAAAATATAAAGTTGATTATTTTTCTCTGCTTGGTTCAAAAATATATAATGCAGCCTCCCTTACTTCGCCGTCCTTACTTCTTTTTTTTTGTTAAAGTAAAATATTTTTCAATTAATATAGAAGAATGACTTTTGTAACAATCAGTTTAAGGACAGAAACAAAATAAACTAAGTAGATTCACAGGCAATATCTGTTATTCTGTTTCTGGAAAGAGAGTTTTTTCCCTTACTCTTTCCGCTAAGTACAACTAAAAACCTGGATATTATATAAAACAAACATGAGAAGTCCTGAAAGACAGAGAGAAGTCAGACTTGTGAAGGATCTTGAAACTCAAGGAATAAATAAAAAGGATAATGTGTATGGTTTTAAGCTAAAACAAAAATATAAGGAGAAAACACCTGAGTGCATATTACGAGACTTAAACAATTGCTCTCAAAATTTATGTGTGTGTGTGTTTATGTATCATGTATGTATATTATATATAAATTTAAAAAGAAGAAATGCAATATCAATAAATAATATTTAAAAATCACTGTGTGTCAGAAAATGTGTTAATATATATGTAAAACTATAATTATGCTCATTGAATAGCTAGAACTGGATTTCATAACATAAATAGTTTGTCCAAAAACATAGCAGGTAAGTAGCAAAATAAAAACTCAATCAAGGTCTACCCAAACACATTAAACCACCCCATCAATCCCTCTGAAAGGGCTATTTACTGAATATCTACCGTGTCTTATGAGGATCATCACACAGCAACCTTCTGATGTAGGAACTATCGTATTTATTTTTTACTGATGAAGGATCAGAGACACAAAAGATTCAAATAAAATGTTCATAGTCTTATGATGCTAAAGGCTGCTTTTAGTCCCTGTGCTTCCTTCCTGTACCAAGCAGCTATCAGCTAAGAAGGGTTTGAAGAACTCCCCATTATCCAAGAGAGCTCATGAGATGCTCATCTTCCAGGAATGGGCACAAAACTTGAGATAACTAACATTTCTCACCAGATGAGGTATTCCACATTAAATACCATGTGTGAATCACACTGCCTCTGATTCCTGAACATTGGAATTCAGATCCCCAGAGTATTACAGGTGTTGGGATTCTCTACATATACCCATGACTAAGCACATCTACCCAGTACTTATTGTCTTCTTGCAGTGTCTGGCTTAATTTAATCCTACACATCCATAGTCACATGTGTGTCCTAAAAACAGAGAGAGGGTGGCAGATGGCAAAACATAAGCAATTCTGAGCTTCTTTTGACAAAGACTACTTCCTGAATTTAGTTTAGTGAGAAGTCCAGATTACAGAAGTTTATGATACCAAGAGACAAAAGGGGAAAAATGTGGAAAAAAGCTGTGATTTGTGGTTTGATTTGGAACAGCTGAGGAATTCCATAGAGACAAGGTGAAAACACAGCAGTTAACTCATCAGTGACTCTGAAATCTACAGCAAGTAATTTGATTTTTCTTACAGATTACATTAGGTATGTGTGTTATCAACATATTAAAATTGTAAAACTTACATTAATCTTGATCTCACATCTTGAGCTAGTCCAACCTGCATCACATGAACATCGATACTCATTAATGAGATCTATGCATCTGCAACAGAGAATTTGTAAGTAAGTAGACATTAAAGCATACTACAAGAGAGTTTCACCATTTAAATTCTTATTTTCTGCTTCAGGTGCAAAAACACATTCCCATAAGCAATAGAAAGCAAGTGTATTCCGAGTATCTTATGCTTCAAGGTGACCGGACTGAAAGAACTGATCAATTTTCATTTTTGCCATCCTCCCTATGGCAATGGAAAGAAAGAAATGTTTTAAAAGATGAAAAGTATGTCTGGGGCATATGTAGGCATCTGAAGTCTGCTTATGGCCAAGCCACACTGCAATTAATTACCCACCTTCCTCCTCCCTTCCCTGCTTACAAAGTCAGTGCAATGACTACAAAAGAAAAATAATGCTGCAGAAGGCAGCTTGGTACATTCTCTGTGAGACATTCTTCTTTTCCACCTCCATCTCCTGGAATGATACTCCTGCTCTATATTTGTATAAACTAATATTATTCATGAGCAGGGGAGTTATTATAAGTTCCATATAGATAGTCACAAAATACCTTGCATGCACATAGCGATGAAAGAAGCAGTCCACTTAGGAACATTTTTAATACCAAGTGTGTGGTATTATCCCTCCACAGAGCAAATAATAGAATGTCTCATCATCCTACCTGCTATTTCTATGACCCTAAGGAGTTGCCTTTAAGTATATTAAAGTCTAATTAATCCACATTTATTCAAAATTACTTTATGCTAATGAACAGAAATAAAAGAAGGGCAGCGATAATGTATCAGTACATTGCATTAACTAAAACAGGCAGCATCTGTCATCTTAACAGTACTTAGCTCTTGTTTTATGAAAGAGCATAAGTAAAATTATCCTTATCAACTTTCCCTTGATATTAAGTCTTAAATATTATAAGTTAAATATACTTTCTTAGAGTTAATAATAGACAAATAAAAATATCTACCTTCCATGTAGACAAGGACTTGAGAGGCACTCATTTGCATTTGCTTCACAGTGTTTTCCGGAAAACCCACTCTTGCAGTCACAGGTGTAATGATTGATGCCATCAGTACAAACTCCATCATGGAGACAGGGCTCCGATAGACATTCATCTATATTTACTTCACAATCAATGCCTACATTAGAAGAGTCAAGACAAAACACAAGACTATTTAAATGCAAAACTCAAAAGTTTGTTCATTATGGTAAAAGTCATCAAGAAATCAAGACTCCTTCCTCACAATGTAGCAAAAGAAAAGATTTTTCAGGTTAAACATGGTTAGGTCTGTAAGTTCTCAGACTATTCATTTAATGTGAATAAAAGAGGCAAACACAAGCTAAATATACTTAAGAGATTTGTTTATAGTGTGAGGAGTTTATTGAGAATATTAATGAAGTAATGAATTATATCAAGTTGTCACTGTAAATACAAATTCATGATTTTTTTTTTTGGTAATGATTCCTGAAAGTCGAACATTTCTTATATTCAGGAATTAAGAAAAAGTTTGAAGTTGTCAAAATTTGGTGTTGGTGAGTGTCTTAGCCTGGGTTCTCTAGAGAAGCAAAACCAGTAAAGCATAAAAATATATAGAGGGAAATAGCTCATGTAATTGTAGAGGCTAAAACATCCCAAGTCCACAGATCAGGATAGAGGCCTCTCCCAATTCACGGAGCCGCAGAAGCTGGTGAACCCAAGGTCGGCAGGTCGGAGAGGGGCTCCCACTCACAGGCTGTGAAGGTCAATGAATTCCAAGATAGGCAGAAAAGACTGCAAGGTTTCTCCTGATTCACATAGCTGTAGCTGCAGGGGCTGGTGAACTCAGGGTCGTCAGGTCGGGGAACCAGACTCTTCCTGCAGGCTGAGAAGTTTGATGAATTCCAAGATCAACATGTAGGCTGCTAGCTCAAGTCCCAAGAACCGGAGGGGAGACAACAAGAAGCAGCTGCTGAGTCTGGAACAAGCCAAAAGCTTTGGCAAGACGAGCAGGCAGAAAGTAACCAGAGGAAGGCAGAGAGATGAAACTGAGGGGGTGGTGAGCTGCCACAGGCCCCGCCTCTGCCAGTACCACTCGGCAGATTCCATCATGGAGGTGATCACAACATTATACAACTGCTAAAACACTGAGAATAATGGCCTAGCCAAGTTGACGTACAATCTTAACCATCACAGTGAGCCTATAAATTGGCTGTATGAGACTTCTAAGTAGAATCTAATTTTGGCTAAATACCTAGGGATTTCAAAAGCCACATTGTGAATATTTATTAAGAACCTACCAAGTACGACCTCTGTGCTTAACTAGGGGTACCAAGCAAACAAACAGTAACCGTTAATGCAGAAACTTATGTTGTCAGGGATACAAAATATATAATCTTTAGCTCTATATAGCTATAGAAAAACGTAAATAGAGCCTAATAGAAAGCTAGATTGTGTTTCAGGTTTCACATGTTACAGAAAGTAGGAAACCTGGAGAGTCAGTATAAAATGGCTAGAATAATCCCTTTGTGCATTGTATTCATTTTTAGTGAGCACCTACTAATAACAACTACCATGGACTGAGCACTTAACTGTTGCATCAGGCTCTGTGCTAAAGACTTGACACACATTATTTCAGTTAATGCTCTTCAAACCTGGAGGAAGATCACATTAGCCCCAACTCACTAGTAAGGAATCTTGGGTACAGAGTATAAATATCCTTCCAGATCACATAGCCCAAAACAGTAAATCAGGATTCAAATCATGTTCTCTGACTTGTGCTTCTAGCCATTACTTTATATTGCCTACCCTGTGTAGGGTCGGCAAAAATGAGGAAGACCCCCAATGAGATGGATTGACACAGTGGCTGCACAATGGGCTCAAACACAGCAACAATTTTGAGGATGGTGCAAGACCTGGCAGTATTTCCTTCTGTTGTACATAGAGTTGCTATGAGTTGGAACCTACTCGACAGCACCTAACAACAACAAGCCTGCTGCAACAAGTATGATATGTGCATAAATTGCTAGGATGAGTAATAAAGTGGTTACTAAACTGGAAAGTTGGCTCCTTTAGCCAAGAACATGAGGTCTATTTGGGGATACAGACAACAAAACTAATAATCTTACTACAATAAAAAGATAATAATAACAGCTATTGGTACTTGCAGCCCTCACTATGTGCCGCGCAATGGTCTAGGAAATTTACATTGATCAGCTTATTTAATCATTACAGTACCCCTATGAGATGGAAATTACTATTCCCATTTTACAGATAAGAAGGTGGCGGAGAGTCTCACAGCTGGTAAGACAGCCCATGCTGTTAGCCATTATTACCTCTCAATACCATAACAGTATGATATGTGCCCTAATGAGAGAGCAAACTGACTGCACTGGGGCCTCTAGGGAATGAAGAGACTGAATTTAGCTGAGCAAGTGGATAAATAAAGCTGTTATGGTCATGGAGGAAATGACCTTGAAAAAAATTAAAGAACTATTATGAAAGAGTAGCAAGGCATTCGATGTGAATCAGTTACCTCAGGGTTTGTTTGGATACCAGGAAAAGAGGTCCGTGGGGGAGTGTTACTGGCTGAGAGAGAGACATTTCACAAGGTGAAATGTATTAATTTACATATCATAACAAAACTAAGTGAATATTATTTAGAGCAGTCACACTGGAAAGGTCTGCAGTTATTGCAAATGATGCTTCCAATGCTGAAAGTATTTTTGGAATTTATCTTTAGGGGTTGTGAGTTTTCAGGTCATAGTCGTATTATTTAATGATTGAATCTCATTTCTTTCTTTTCCCAGAACTGCTGCTACTGCCAATATGTAACTTTGGATACTGGATCATCTAAGAATATAGAAAAAATAGTATGAAAAAATGTGTGTAAATTAGTCAAATCTGTAGCCATTTTTGAAAGATGCAGCAAGATTTAGGTTCAAACCATGGGTTAAACAAGAATAGCCTGTATTAACCTGTGGTTAAAAGCAAACAAACAAGCAAATAAACGATGCCCTCCGTTAAATCTCCTGGCTCACAATAAGCCAAAAATCAGTTGCCATAGTGTTGATTCTGATTCATGGAAACTTCATGTGTGTCAGAGTAGAACTGTGCTCCATAGGTTTTCAAAGGCTGATTATTTGGAAGTACAGTGCCAGGTCTTTCTTTTGAGACCACTCTGGGTTGGCTCAAACCTCCAACCTTTAGGTTAACAGTGGAGCACCGGAACAGTTGTACTGCCCACAGGATTATTTCTCACACTCTATGACCCAGGTGAGCTGCAGCTCTACTTTATATGCCTTCAGTCAGGGATCTAGATTAATTGAACATCCTCTTTGTGGGATATTGCCCGTCATTGTGGAAGAGGGAAGAGGGCACTAGGCAAACCACACACTAGCTCTTAAATCTTCTACTTACACTTCTTTGGCCAAACCAAGTCACATGAATAAACCCAATGTCAGTGGGGTGGGCAGGGAAGGGCACATTTTTGTGTCAATAATAATATTCAGTGCAGACACACTATTTAATCAATCAAGCTTCTCCTTTGTAAATGAGGAATATTTATTAGTACATCATATGTTCATTGGGATGAGGAAATAAAATCACGTATTGAAAACAACAAGCCCAGGACCTGGTACATATTTAACATTCAATACTCAATGAATATAAATGTTCAAAAATATTCAATTTTTTTTGTAAAAATATCACAACTATATTGTATTTAAAAGATTGATTAATGTTTCCAGAGGCAGCACTATTCCAATAAGAAGATGAGTGAAAAGTATCTCTGTACAGTATACACAGAACGTTGGTAGAGGTGAAAGAGCTGATCAATTTAACATACAAAGGTGGAGGGCAGATGGTTAAAAGTGAATGGAACAAGATACAACAAGCACTGTCCAGGGATGGAGGAGTCTTGAAAAAAGTCATTACATTTTGCTGTTCTTTGAAATGCTCTCTCCCTTCTAACAAAGAGTGTTTCAGTTTCGCTGGAGAAAGCATTATTAAGATTACCTAGGAAAATTTTCTTCCCCCTAACACTTTATTTGTAACTGGAGCCCTGGTGGTGCGGTGGTTAAGAGCTTGGCTACTAACCAGAAGGTCAGCAGTTTGAATCCACTAGCTGCTCCTTGGAAATCCTCTGGGGCAGTTCTAGTCTGTCCTATAGGGTTCCTATGAGTTGTAATCGACTAGACAATGGCAACTTTAAAAAAAAAATTCATTATTTAACCTTCTGGTTTTAATTTTTGTTTTCTAAGTAGCCTCAGGAGTCCCTGGGTGATGCAAATGGTTAAGAGCTGGACTACTAACCGAAAGGTTGGTGGTTCAAACACACCCAGAGGAGCCTTGGAAGACAGGCCTGGTGATCTGCTTCCGAAAGGTCACAGCTTTGACAACCCTATGGAACAGTTCTTTTCTGCACACTTGGGGTTGCCATGAGTCTAAACTGACTCAATGACATCTAACAACCACAATAATAAGTAGCCTCCAGAGAAGGTGAGAATGTAATGATTAGCTAGCCTGAACATTCTGGTCCACGCAACCATTATTTTCTCAATGTATATACCATAGTACTTTAACACCATGTAAATCAGGGTCCCTTTTTACCTTGTTAACTTCATCTTATCTACTCTCACCCTTGAATACTCTGCTCTAGTCACATTGACCTCCTTGTGGTTCTCAAAAACTTTAGGTATGTTCTTACCACAGGACCTTTGCACTTTTGTTACTCTTCCCTAGAATTTTCTTCTAGGTATTTACACAACTCACTCCTTCATTTTCTTCAGATCTTTATTCAAATGGCACTGTCTCAATGAGACCTACAATGACCAAATTATTTAAAATTATACCTCCTTAATACCTATAATCAACATTGTCCATTTATATGTCTGCAGCAAATTATTTCCTTGTACCATTCTATAACATTTATTCATTTCACATTTGTTTTTGTCTGTCATCCCCATTACATCCTTAGTTCCATGAGGTAGTGAATTTTGTCTGTGTAGGTTAATGCTATATCCCCAGGTCCCAGAACATAAAAGGCATCAAATATTTGTTTAAAAATATTTGTTATATATGTTAATATTTTATTTTAAACATCAGTTTTGTTTTGTTCTCCTCAGAAGTCGCCACATTTTTCCCAATGAAGGACAAATTTGT